GCGCCTGCCACCTAGAGATAGACCATGCCAACAGGACCACAGAGTCTTCTGATCATCACAGGGGAGGGGACTGAAGGGGAGGTGCAGGGATAGGTCCTGTTGGCATGGTCCCTGATGCTACAGACCGGTGTAGCCCACCTGCAGGTCAGGTGCAGCTCATGCATGTTCTCTTGTGAACCCGTTTGTCCCTGCTACGGGGTTCCCTGTAATACTATGATTAGGTGTAATAGGTAGGTAGGCAGTGCATGTTGAAAAAGAAAGAGAGAATTTCACAGGGGAGGGGACTGGAGGGGAGGTGCAGGTATTGGTCCTGTTGGCATGGTCCCTGATGCTACAGACCGGTATAGCCCACCTGCAGGTCAGGTGCAGCTCCTGCATGTTCTCTTGTGAGCCCATTTGTCCCTGCTACGGGGTTCCCTGTAATACTATGATTAGGTGTAATAGGTAGGTAGGCAGTGCATGTTGAAAAAGAAAGAGAGAAAAAAAGAACAAAAGGGGCAAGCACGTTGGAGTCACACCCAAGGTTCAGAAGAGGCCACTTATAGCAGTTCCCGAAATGGGGCAACAAAGGCGCCCCGAAATCTGCAACGCGCCACTGCTCGTAATGACTGGTGTAGTTTTAGACCCCCGCAAAACTTGCACATTTCGAAACTCACACCATGACACTGGCGCCACCTTGTCCTTGCTTGCCTATTTCAAACTAAGGGCACACTCCACTACGCGGTAGCGAATCCACATAATCTGAAAAAAATAGTAAGGCCTGATTTGGGGAAATAGTGGTGGCGCCGGTCACACCATGTTCCCAAACCTCCCATTTCCCGGTCGCGGCAGCTCACCCGGTGTGGAGGTTGGGAGGAAGCCAGTCACATGGGGCACACCCTTTTTCCCTCATCCGGTTTTTTGTATTTTTGCTTTTTTTTTTTTTACCTTTTCCCAATCGCTATCATGCCAATATCTTCGTTTAAGAATTTTCTATCAGTTTTTAAAAGTTAATTCAAAAAAGAATAAGGAATTTGTGGCAACCTCCGGAGGTTATCCCAACCTCACGGCCTCTCAGACCTCTGACAAAACTGTTCACAAATGAGTAGTTTGCGAAAATACAAACTGGGTGTGACTGCCCCTCGACAGTATTTTTTGGGGATTTTGGAAATTATGCGGATTTGGTACCGCAGTGTAAGCATGCCCTAAAAGTGTGTCACAGCCCCAGCTCCCCCCCTGGAAAAAGAAGAGGGAGGCCCTCAGTGGTGCTTTTTTTTTTCCTGTGTTGCAGAGGCCAGTTGCTAGGCACACATTGATCGCCGGAAGTGGTCAGCCATGGTCGCCCTAAGGAGACGACGCCACCTCCCATCCCATCCTCGTGTCAATACTCCTACCGCATCCCCTATCCCTACCATCCTACCTCAGTGTGACCAGCACTCAGGACCATCACCCTACCAGTATCAGGGGAACTTGGACCAAACAGTAGTGACAGGCACCAGGGCTAGCGACCCAGCCCTCGTGGAAGCATAGTCGAACGAGCCTCGTCGTACGGGCACTTCAGACGCCAGGCTCAAGCAATCACCTATTAGCCCCTAAGTTGACCAACCAGTAACTCATGCCCTCTACTCTTCCACCACAGACCTAGCTGCATATTTAAGGCGGGGTGTGACGCCCAACCTCACGCCCAGCGCGACTTCCTGATCGGAGTGGGATGTG